GCCCTCCCGCGCCGCTCCTTCCTCTCACGGCCGCTAAATTAGGGTTTAATCAGCGTCTTTATCGATTACGCTTTAATCACGAGCTTTTCAGATGGGCTTTCTTCGAGTACCGTATTCTGGGGCAGCAGCTAGTATTTAATAGAATTGAGGGATCCCAGTCTCCAAGAATCCTGCTTGTGTCAGTCGAGTAATCGTCCTCTCGTCCGTCGCGCGTGAAATCGGCACCATGTCGCCCTTTACACCAACCAGCTCAAGGACGGCTTTGAAAAACCTGGAGCAGTAACAGTTAAAAGACCAAACTCAGTCCTGCCGCAAAGTGATTGCAGCCAATGAAAACTAGTGTTGAATGAAATTTATTCTGGACCTTAGGTTAATTAAGTACAAGCAGGAGTGGGGGGATTTATTATTTATTACAACTAATAAATTTATTATTACTAATAAATTTAGTAATGCTGGCAAAAATTCTCACTCCAGGAAAGATCTTACCACGCTTCGTGTCCTTCTTACTCTTTCTCATCTTTCTTAACGCTTCACAACGTTGCACCTCCACGGTCATGGGTCATGCCGAGTCTCTGGGTAAGACCTTGTTAAAATTTTAAGCACTTCAATGTTTTTTTTTTTTTCAAATAAAATCAATCAATAACAGAGGAACACAACTCTTACCACAGTATTTTGCATCACCACTATAGAAGGAGGGGCTGACAAAGAAGTACTACAGCTAGCACACGCAAAGAGGAGTCTATTAAAAAAATGAGATGAATAAAGTTTAAAATCGTATTTGAGGAAATAGGGATATGAAGATAATCGCTGTGAAAATAAGACACCACAAACATTTTATCATAGAGTACAAAATTGCCAGGGAGATTGTTTTTATTTTTAATGATGTTTTCCACAAACACAAAAATTCATATTTCAAAATTCCTTACACAAGGATAAAAGCTAGACTGTTGAACTGTACACTACTGAACACTTACAAATTAGGAAAATCAGAACTACTACATTGCCATGATTGTAAATGCAGAAGAGAAAGGATTCATTAGTTGTAGTCTAATCAGTACATGATTGCAGTATTGTACAGAAAGACTATTTTTTGTTTTCAAATGTGTAACGTAGGATAGGCAAACTGCACAAGTACACATGCAATTTAATATTGTCCTGCTGACATTTAGCATCATGAAATTCCCTGGCTAAGTTTAAACATTCACCTTCGAGGCCCACAAGGCACTTAAACAAGCAGGTACCTAAGATTTCGGCAGCAGCAGAGCCTCAAGAACGGCTTGGCAAGGTGGCCCACCTTCGCTCGTGCCACAGCTGCCGTGGTAGGGCTAACAGGGGCTTTCTTTTCTTTCAGGGGCTTTTTTCAGGAACTCTACCGCCTCACTGTACAACTCTTTGGGGAGGATTTTTTATTCGTTGCTTTTTTTGCTCCAGAAAATGAAGGACTTGAACAAAAACAACAAACAAACAACTCTGAGCTTGCATGAAACCTTAAAAATGAATTATTCTAGTTCTTGCCTAGCCAGCAACAGTAAGGCATTTGAGAAGCAGCAGGTTCTTCACTGGTTTCAGACCTACTCAACTTTTCCAATAAATCAGACCCCAGAAGCAACCATAAAAAGACAACAGAGTGATGTCAAGTGAATGGCCTTATTTGACTCAGCTAGAAACCTTCGTAGATTCTGAGTAATGCAATCCCTTGCGGGCAAGCATTTATAATGTGTTTATTGTGATATTCAACAATCCAAGCATTCTTATAATTCAAAATGAAAAGTAAGTTGAAATTCAGTCATGGCAAAAGCTTCATTAGCCTGCCATATTAGCTTGCTGGGCTTAGCTGCATGGGTTTGTGTGAAGAACATGTAATTTGAGGCCTACCAGCCTGGTATCGATCTACCAGTTTGCACATTTCAGTTACTATATTTCAGTTTTGTGTCATGAAACAGTTCATGGGGAGCTTGTTGAGCACGAGACTAAGCACAGACTGAGCTAAAAGCAGTAAGATGTTCCTGCTTTAGAAGACCTTTAAACAATAATTTCTATATCTAGATTCTTTAAAAAATGTTTGAGCTACTGAGCAAAGACATTGCAAACCCAGTAAAACGCTTAAGAAAATAGGTTGAAGAATAAAATCCAACAGAACACTAGAAGCCAATAATGACTTTCCAGGTGGCAGAGTTTAAAAAAAAAAACACACACACACACAACGCTTATGAACCTAAGGCAATACCATAATTGCATCTGTTCATCTGCATTATAAGGGTCTCCAAATGAAACCACAATGCCAGTATCATTTTCTCTCAATCTGAAGCTTGTTTCCCAGCTGCTCTCACAGATGTGTTGGTTTGTAAGACAATGCTGGACATGGACCATTGGACATGGTTTCTGAGGGTCTGCTTCTCGCATTGAGTGAACGTGCAGTTCATCTCTCTACAATCCAGTATGGCCTCATAACTGTAGAGCTATTAGTCAGCGGAGGAGACACATGCATTGCGTTATTTGGCACGTAGACTGCCTCCCTTGAGGCATGCAGCCAGCTTCGCTTCCGTTTTAGATTTCCTACAAACGCTCTAAGATATAAAAACTCCATTCTGAGGAAATTTTCCCTGGTAAAGTCTCTGGAAGCCACTGTTATCCTGACCAGCTGGTCCAACACTTTGTTCCTCTTGCAGCTGGATAACTCTTTGAAGTTGACAGGCTTTGACCGTGCATAAAGAATCCGAAATTCCAGGTCAAAGTGCGCGACTGCAGGGCCTGACAGAATCAAAATATTACTGCTGTTCAGTTTCCCATCTGTCCATGTAAAACTAGCAAAGGAAGAATGACGAAATTCTGAGTTAATTCAAATAAAAATGCACAATAAAGTGTTAACTGAAACTTCTCTTTCAGCACATTCAGTTAGATTGTTTTCATAACCCTAATAATTAGCAGTGTGCTTTTTTTTTTTTTTTTTAAAGGACAAATGTTACACAAACTGCAGATAAGAAAAGTGGTTTTGTAATCCAAATACTTTTATTTTCCATGTACAGAAATCACATAAAACAACAGGAAGAAATTGAGCACTTGCCTGTATGAGCCAGTTGTCACTCTAATGCCATCAATTAACATGAACTTTTCACAGACTTTTCCAATAATTTTGGCACCTGACCTTGTGTAGTATGTGTTCCCAGTGATATTTCGAATTCTTATCAACTGTTGAAAAGAATGATGTGGAAAACATTACTTGGATTTCAGATTTAGATAATTCTATTTAAGAGAATAACACACAGCAATAATTATTGATACTAGCAAAGGTTGCTTCCCTGTGGCACAAGATTCACCATCTAGGGACCAAATGATAATTTTTAATGGGCAAAGGGAACCATACACTAAGGCGCAGATCCAGAAATTGATTGTGCAGAATGTAATCCTAAAAATTCCTGCCGCCTAATCTTGGCAGGACCTAAACTCCACAGACACCTGAGAACATGATTCTCCATCAGCCTTTGACGTCTCAGCAAGCCTGAGCAACCCCAATCATGCTTTTAGGAACTGGACATCCCTCCTTCATTTTCTTGGATTCAATTATTCAATAAATTGAATAATTTAGTATTAATGCTCAGAAAGCACCTACTTGTAAAGATTTAGCTATTATATTACTGTCTTATGCAAGATTGGTTAAACCTTACACGGAAGAGCTAGAGCTATATAAAATCTACTTTTAATTGTGGCAGCGCATGAAATAGTTTCTTCTGCTACCTCAAGAGTTATGGTCATAATAGGATCAATTTTTTTTATTCCTGAAAATATTTAAAGGCTTACCTTTTCCTGTTCAAGATCCACGCCCAGATCTTTGCACATTTTCAGAAAGTGGGAAAACGAAGACTGATCTAGAAGAATGTATGCTTTCACTTGCCGCTGGCTACAAGCTTCCAAGAGGTCTTTGAAGATATCAGTATCTGTGAAGGAATCCATAACCAAGGCAATCATCTGCAACAAGTTTCATAAGAAATCATTAGGCTATTTCCATAGCATCCCAAGGAAGAAGGCACTTGAGGAATTTGACTTTCAAATTAAACGTTTCCCTCCCCTTTTTTCCCCTTTTTTTTTTTCTCTTCTTCTCCTTCTGGTGGTTATGGAACGTTGTCTGTGGTATGATATAATCTCCTGTTGTTCACAGAACTGCTGAAACATTTAAGAGACATAAAAGAAAAAGAAAGGAAAAATAGCTCTTATTAAAATAAGCTTCTGCAAAGAGAATGGTATTTTAGTAAAGAGGATTACAGAGTTCCAGTATGCTGAGGTACAGAATACACAATATAAATCAGCCCTTCCCTATTATCACTTATTCATGTCCCTGCATAGTTAAATAAATAAATAACATCATACTTATCATGGACAGAACCTGGTGTTAAAGATTATTTGCCCTGGTTTTGATGTCACTTGAGTGACTTACATCTGACGATACCTTTTAAGATTTTTTTTTTTTGTTATGATCACATCTATGGAATGTCCTTTTGTACAGCTATAGTTTCAGGAGCAAACACTGAAGCTTCTTTTGTCAGGATCTGTAGCTTTTTGATTCATTAGGCACAAGCAAGCTAGCCTGAAAACGTGTTGTGGAGAGGAAAGGAAGAGTTACCAACCAGGGCCTTTCTGCCAATGCATGTTAGCAGGAAAGACAGCTCGTGTTTAGTTAAAAAAAAAAAAAAAAAAACAGAGCTCATCACCTATTCCTAGCAATGATACCTTCTTGCATCAGTTCAGCAGCATGTCACTCATAATTTTTAATTAAAACTTGTACTCAAGCCCTCCCTTTTTTTTGTATTACATAAGTTCACCCTCAAGATTTAAGTTACTCAAATTTGAGGAGTCCCTCCTTTTCCACAGCTTCTACTGTGGGCTCAGTACCTACCAAAGCAGAGGAAGACTTGACAGCTCCCCAAAAAACAAAGTGAGCTGATGGAGAAAGTATTTAGAGTCAGAAAAAGTGTTTAGAGTCACAAATAGGCAGGCATTTTGCCATCAGCCTTTTTTAACTACGTCAGTAACTTTTGGCATAACAAGAGGACTAAGCCGATCACAGAATCACAGAATGGTTGAGGTTGGAAGGGACCTCTGGAGATCATCTAGTCCAACCCCCCTGCTCAAGCAGGGTCCTCTAGAGCATATTTCCCAGGATCACATCCAGGCACGTTTTGAATATCTCCAGCAAAGGAGACTCCACTACCTCTCTGGGCAACCTGTCCCAGTGCTCTGTCACCCTCACAGTGAAGAAGTTCTTTCTCAGGTTTAGGTGGAACTTCCTGTGGTTCATCACCCAGATGTTTCGGTGGCAAGAATACCTCATGCAAATCAGAACCCTTATAAACGACTTGCATTGCTTCAGGTTTTTTCCTCTCTGAGATATGCCAAAACAGGGGTCTACCTCTATGTGAAACAGCAGCAAACCATTTAGGTCTCCATTTCCTAAGCAAAAGGGTCCCCCCCCCCCCCCCCCCACGCAACACCAACATTCCACCCAAAAACCGACCTAAGCATTGCCTGAAGAGAAACGTGCACAAACTTCCGAAACTTAATTTGTCCAGAATCCTTCAAGTTTTTCAAATATGAAAAGAAACAGGAAAAATCTCATCGGTGTCCGGCTCCTCTTCAAACCTCACCTCTCTGCTCAAGATAAAACCACGGTTTCTCTGCAACTTATCCCCATTCTCGAGCTCTCCCAAGCGAGGACGAGCCCGGGCTCCCCCAGAAAAGCCATCCGTGAGAGGCAGCTCCTGCCCGCCCAGACTGACGCCCTGAGCTTCCGCGGGTGTTAATTTCAGTGGACGCGAGCACGGTCTGCGTGGAGGGCACGGTACTCGCGGGGGCGAGGCACTAGCGGGC